TTCCTGGGTTGTTGTTGTTGTTTTTTTAAATTGAAAGTAGTTCTCATTTCAGTGGGCTGTGCAGGAAATTTGGAGCTTTTCACAACAGGCACCTGTTCATCATCTTTTCTATTCAGCAGCATCTCTCATCCTTCCTCCCCAATGAGATCCTGATGCTGCAGGCTCTTGGAAGGCCATTTTGCCTTCAGCCCTTGTGGAGGGCAACCAAGGATGGCAGAAGCAAAAGATCCAGCAGCCAGGACCATGTGGTCAGGAGAAATCAGCCTTGAACAGCAATGCGGTATCATCTGGGACATTTTGCACTGCAGGAGCAATGCCCCAGCAGCTGTAGTCCAGCAGTGAGGTGAGGGGTAAGCTCTACACTGAGTGGGAAGTGACAGGTCTTTAATTATATCAATGTCACATCATAGGGACCAACAAGGATGTCTGGCGAGTCAGAGATGTGGCCACCTGGGCTAGGGCTGTCCTCAGACTCTTGCTCTGCTTCCGCAGCTCTCTGCCAAGAAGCCTGGGTTGCACCAGAGTAGGTGTGAGAAGTATTTGGCAATGCTGTTCCTTCCGATGCTGCCCGTCCCTGCCCAATGCATCCAAGAAGCCTCCCTGCAGCTGCAGCCCATCACTTCACTGTCCCTGGATGCACCAGAAAGCCCATCACCCAGCTTTTGCCTCTGTGCTGATATAAGAAAGTCCTCTGCAGGCATCTCATTTCAAATACTTGTTCAAAGCAATTGGCTTAGCTGCTTTTAAATGAAACCCTATAGAGATCAGTTGAAACCATTAACATTCCCTAGATGATCCAGGCAGTAACATTTATTGGTTAAAACACACACATTGACTAAAGAGCTTCTGACACCCAGCCACTCCTTGCTGTTGAAAGCTTTGCATTTCAGTGGGGAAGCATGAACTGAGTGTATGATAAAGCCTTTAATAGCGCTGAGGAAGAGGGCAGAGCATTGCCAATTTCTCCAATTTTCAGAGACAGCTTTCAAGTGACAGAATTCAGGAGCCTTAATTTGCATCAAATGCAAAGGAAGTTTCTTACATGACAGTAGGAAACAGCCGAGGACTTATCTGTGAGCTACAGGACAGCAGGGGAACCAGCAAGTGAGTTGGAAAAGTTCACTGACCTTTGTGCAGAGGGAAAATTCAAAGCACATTGTCTGCTGTCATTGTGCAAGTGAGAGCTGCTTGGCGGATGTCCAGCCTGCTAACATGAAAATGCAAAATTTCAACAAATGGCAGGCGTGCAGGGATCCTTGTAGACATGCAGAAATAAAATTAGCTCCAGCAACAAAGGGAGGTAGAAGAAACAAATAAATTAAAAGATCTGTAGATATCTTGCGGCTTCTCCCCGCTAGTCCAAGCAGGCTTATATCCATCAGGACTTATGAAAGATATAGCCATGGCAAGTTTGTTTGTCACAACTGAAAATGAGAGCAAATCTGTGGGAAAAAAAAGCAGTTTAGGACATGAGTCTACTACGCATGAGTGCATGCGTACACTTTAAGTGCGTGAGTGCACTTAAAGCTATAAAATGGTGACAGTGTCCTGATATCATGACTGAAGTTCAATTCCCTGTTTAAGAGGCACTTCTGGGAAACCATTCAGTCATATCCAGCCACAGAGAAAGAAAAGAAGAAGAAAAAAAAAAAAAAAGAAGCATCTTCTCTACTGATCTAGAGGTCATTTGCATTGTATCTTTCATGTCTGTGCTGTACTGAGTCTGTCTGACTCAGACTGTAACTTCCTTTTGGCACTGGCCAGTCCCTCTCCCTTGTCAAATTCCAAGAATGGTGCTACTGCAGCGCCAACAGATAATAACAGCAGGAACCAGTCCTCAGTGACCCTTCTCATGACTGAATGCTTCCTGCCAGGTGCAGCACACCAAAATTTTCATTGCAAAATGCTGAATTAGGAGATGACTACATCTGTCTTTCTAATTTTTTTTGGTCTCATCAAAATTTATGGGGGAAAAAAATCAACTGCAAGTTTGCTACCAGCACCAATGGGAGGGGGAACTGCCCTTTGCTCTGCCCCTTCTAGAGTCATTTTCCTCAGAGCCGAATGCATGTGTACTACCAACAGCTCATGCTGAACTAGCAGCTTTTTACACTCACTTGGTGGAGGTGTGAATAAGAGGGATATGTGGCAGCAGAGAATCAGCTCTCCGTAGTTGCATATCTATATATCCGATATTGTGATATTCTGCTATTGTGATGGCAGCTATTTGCCTGTTATCGGATGAAGATGGTCTGCTAATAACAATGGCCATGATTTCATCAGAGCAGGTGAGTCAATCTAACAGCTCACTGCCACCCTGCAGAAAAGGATCCACTTGTTTTTTGCCAGGTTAATGAGTTGAGTCAGCTCACCAAGGGCAGCATAAGGAGGCCCAGAGCCAGCGCAGAGTGAGCAGTGGGAATGCACAGCCAGGAGGGGAAAGGGGAAGACGAACCTCCCAGTCCTGGCAGCAGCAGCTATTAGATCACCTCATCCCAGGCTGCAGACTCAGCAAAATGAAAACTTATTTGGCTTTGAGGTTGCCATAATGCCTTTACATGAGTAGGGAATTCTTTCTTTAAAGCTTGTTCGGGAGATCAGGGTGGGAGCAGGAAAGGGGGAAAGAACTCAGATCTCCTACAAATAGTGCATCCTACATCTCCTCTGTGGAAGCTCATGGAAAGTCTTTTCATTTAAACAGTAAAGCTGTAAGAGTTTGTTAATTTTTCGACTGTAAATTAAAGCAGGAAAAAACTAATTCCTAACATGGTCACAATAGTAAAACTCTCAGTCATTCAAGTTGTTATCAACATTACCTCTGAGGGGAATGGACCATGCACAACAGTTTTCAGGAGAAAAAAAAGTAATCTCAAGAGGTACCTTGCTGCCCTGTGAAATTGCTAGATTAGGGACACTTGTTGCTGATGCTTCTCTTTCTGGGTGGGGTACAGTTATCAGTCGTGTTTATCAGGTTGGAGAGCACACCAGTGCTTACAAGTTTAAATCTTCAGCATCAGCTGACCAAAATGATAGCTGCATATTCTCATTTAAAATGTGCATGACTTGAAGAGCACAGACATTTCACAACCACTTACACAGCAGAATGCACTCTGGAACACCAGTCATAAACATCTTGAATTTAGGACTCCAAAAATAAGAGGTAAGGCTCCAAGATGCACAAATGGGTGGTTTGCACTGACTTTAGACAAATTCTGACTAAAAATAAAACATGCGTATTCAAAAGAGAAGGTTCATAACCACTTGAACAGCATAGCAAGCTTGCTGTGGTTCTCTACCACACAGTCTCCAGCTCAAGCCTGGAAAGAGGGCTGAATACAAGATTTACAGGGTGAAAAACTCTGGCTTTGGTTACGGGAAGCTGGAGAACATGGTCATGACTGTCCCTTCAGTCTTCTGAAGCCTTTCGCTCTGTCGGTGCATTGAAGGCCAACCACTATGATGAGAAATACCATTACTAACAAAAGACTGGTGGTGTTTATTGTCCTTACAATAAACATTTAAATATGAAGCCTATTTTTCTGAAGCGATGGCTTCCACAGGTCTAGAGAAAGCCGTCTCTGAACAGCAGGCTGTTTTAGCCCAAGTGTGCAGCTGTGGCACATGCAGGCTTGAGTGTGACTCTGGGAGGAGGGGGCACACCTAAGAAGACATCTGAGCAGGCAAGCGAGACTGAGCTTTGTCAGAGTAAGTCACTGTTGTATGTTTTAAGTCCATGGAGCTATTCTGATTTTTACCAGCTGAGGTTCTGCCTCATTATTCCAGAAAGAGATCATAATTTAATTTGATAAGATCTTCATGTAGGGAGCCAAAGGGTGTGGGTAGTGATTTACTCCTCTTTGAAATTACAATTATAATCTTTCATCTATTTAAAGAATCTTTATACTTACCTGTGTAAGACAGTCTAATATGGTAAAAGCCTCGTGGTTTTCTTTTCTCATGACTCAGACAAACCTGACCACAGCTCCAAAGCTTTTCTCAACGTACTCTTCACATTATGCTTTATTGTTTCTACCTTCCTTACTTCTGCAGCCTCCAGCTTACTGAAAAAGCTGCTGCAAAAGGGGTTTTTTTTTTTCCCCACCCATGTCTGTACAGGGAAAATGTGTTATTTAGGAAAAACAGCTGGTTAACTTAGACCTAGTTCAGCTCAGTAAATAACTCAGGGTGGTGACTGTGGCATGACTGTTTCACAGTAAGTGGTCAAGCCAAGCATCCTGCATGGATGCATGCAGTCCACACAGCAGAAGCAGACACTGTGTTTGGTGGAAGCCCATGTGGTGTAGAATAACAGACCTCACAGGGGAGTCAGTGCAGAATGACCGTGTTATAAATGTGCATAAATGACTACCCCCTGTAAAGAAGAGCTAACATTTTGAGGAATACAGTGCCCAAGGAGGCTGAAGACTAGCGTATACAAGATGTGTGTTGTGTTCAGGGAGCATTAACCAGGACTGACTAACCCATTTTTAATGCAGCTGTCTTTTGTTCATGCAAAATTCAGATTTATGTTGAGCATCCTGTTACTTAGAGCGTGGGTGCAAAACTCTTTCTAATAGGATGTGTACTGCTAGTATAGACAAGGCTTGGCTGGCTCAGCACTGCAATCACATCAACCTCCTATTTGCATCTCACCACTGCCTCCCTTTGCACTCCCACATTAGCTGGAAGCTCTTGTCTTCAACATTGCAGCTTCTAATTCCTTCATCCTGCATCCCCACCTCGAATGCTTCATTATGATCCTGGAATTCATTCTGCAGTGTTCCTAAACTTCATCATCCCCATCACCTTATCTCTAAAGAGTGTGTAGATTTGCTTTCCGTTTCATTTATTACACTTATCATGGACATTAGCTCTTTCTCTTTCTTTTTTTTTTCCTTAGGCTTGCTAGTATTATTTTAGTATTTATCCTTATTATTTCCAAGTTGCCATAAGCACTTGGGAATGCTAAATCCAGACCAAGGCCCTGTAGTGCTGGCGCTATGGCCGTGTCCCAGAGCTCCTGCAGCTTCCAGCTAGTGGTAAGAGGTGCGTACAAGCAAGTAGACAGGAGTAGCACAAGGAAGCAATGAGGCAGGATAGATTACTGTGATGGCCAAAGCAGCAGGCATTTTTGACTCATCTGAACATCTCAGTGCATGTTATATGAGTAATGTGTTTCCCTCCCTGACTTGAAATCCCTTTTAAGACTTGTTCATGCTATAGGACCTACAGCAGCACCACTATGCAAGTAGTAACTCCCCTGTCAGTGCTCCCTGGTGCTTCTCCCCTCCCATCTCGCAGCTTTGCTCCCGATGAAGCAGTGTGATGTCCCCATGTCCAGTGAATGTGGCAGGGGGGAGCTGGACCCCTCCAGACATGGGCAGCCAGTCCACGTGCTGTGAATCTGGCATGGCCTTGCCAGCACAGGTGTTCTGCTGGCGGTCTGATCCTTTACCCCCCGGGTAAAGACCACGGAGGAAAGGAGAGTCCTTAGACCAAAGACCACTCATCAATTGCAGTAGGGCTGCAATTTTTACCTGGAACAATCATTTTGCCTCACCTTGTCAACTTGTAGTTTGTAAGACAGGGCTGGCCTTCCCTCCCTGTCAGCACAGCACATAGACACTCAGGTCATGAACTAGTCTGGAAGTTTGGGTCACTCCTGTGGTATGAATGATTGATTGTAATTAGTAAGGGATGAAGCTGAGAGGAACCCTGTGATGCGGGAATCCAGAGTCAGCAGGTTTGGCAGAACTCTGTGAAGTTTCAGCCTTGGCATCAATGTTAGTGTTTTAGGAAGCAGCAGCCTGTGCTGGCTCAGTGGCAGAGCTCTGACAGCAATTAGAAATAAAAAAGTAACGTATGCCAACGAGGGGAAAGAAAAAAAGAGACCACAATTGTTCTAAAGCAGAAATTATGAAATGCAGAAAAGTGACATGGAAAACCGAATATATCAAGGATGCAACACTGGCCGGAAAAGCTAAAAACAGTAAAGGATTTTAAGAAAATCTGGAATAGGAAAAACTCTAGCAATGATACAGACTTAACAACATTTTTATTGATACAGAGAAGACATGGGGCCTTGTGTCAGTTTCTATGGAATAAGCAATGTATATTCAACCTGGCAAACTCTGTCATAGATCTTTGTCCCCAGTCCCACCCAAAACACAAGGGGTGAAAGGAAGACAATATTGAAATCATTTGCCTGGACATATCTGTGCTGAGAGAGGATGTGACAGGTTCAGAAAATAAGACAGGAGGACCGACAAAGGGGGAAGAGGATAGTTGTCATTGAACCATGACTCCCAAATCCATGAGAGCCTCAGCGTCACGTTGAATGGAGGACAATGAAATGGTGAGTCACAACGGCCCAAATCCTTACAGAGGTCTTTATTTTCATGTCCAGTTTCTTTATATTAATGGCATCTAATGCCCATTAGTTGCAGCGAAGCTCCCTTGCATAAGTGTGAATTCAATGTCTAACTACACTTGAGGATCTGACCCTCCAAAACGGACCCTGCCGGACCCTGCAGAGTCCCTGGAGCCTCTGCTGTGCAAGGGCTGCTGCAGGGGCGTACCGCGTGGGATGGGAACAGAGCGTCCTGTCCCCACAGTGGAGGTGAGTTGCTGCACACAGGATACTCTGGCACAGGCTGCTGACATCCTGGATCAAAGTTAATTACTCGTGTCTTCATTTTCATTCTCTGGCTTTCCCGCTAATGTTCCTTCCATATTTCTATGGTTTTGCATGTGCAGCTGCCTGTGGTCCATAAGGTCTATTATCTTCCAATCCTGACATCTTGATAGGCAGTAGAACGAGTCGGATAGAGCACTAAGAGGTAATTAGCATTCAAGTAGGTCAGGAGCTCACTTGGGGGTTGTGCATGACTGGACTTTCCCAACTTCTTGTCAGAAACAAGTGTTGATAGAATGAGGGTGGTCACCAGTGGTGAAACTGCAAATATGAAATCAAACCTCGGTGGTGCTTCAGAAAAAGTACATGGGGGCAAGGAGGCATTCACCTTGCACATTTGCTCATCTGCAGGAAAGGGAGGTCATGAAATGCTGCCCAGAAACTACAGTGTGCTGCAGAGAGCTCGTGTTTGCTTCCTGCACCTCTCCTCTGCTGTCCAGGCCGATCTCATGTTCTGAGAATTTTCCTTTTTGGTGGATGTAAAGTGTTGAGCGCCTCTCTCCCCTCCTACAGCAAGCTTGCTGGTCACTTATTTTTGGTGTACACTGATATGTATGTAGACTGCTGTGTGTATGTGTGCATTTGTAGAAGATATAGTTTAGATCTGTGGGTATGTGTGCTTGTTAGGAGTCTCACAATTTCTCCTGGAGTTTCCTTATGTGTAAAATGGAGATAGTAACACGTAATTACCTACCTTGCAGGGCTGTTGTAAGGACAAATTAACCAATGCTTGTGTGGGTGTTTGCAGATGAAAAGCATGATATTAAGACTAAATATAATGATTGAATGTTACAGAAGAGAGTTTGTATTTATTATGGTGATTGAATATGAGATGAGAGCGCTTTGTGGGTGTTTATTTCTTGTGCAGTACCAAGTATTTGTGGAAGGTGGGAAACTGGGGGAGCTGAGTTTGGGGTAGGTGTCAAAGAGATGGTTAAAGTTGATCTTTAGCCTTTAACCTTATAGCCTACTGACTTTCTTCTCCTCTTAACTAAAGCTGATGCTGAACAAGGGACAAGAGAACAGAGGAATGAAAACAGGGCCAAGCTATAGAGGAAGAGAATGAAAATAATACAATTGAAGATCACGATTTCAAAGAAAATGTAAAAACTGAATGGGAAAACAAAAGCTAGGGAAAATGAGGACAGAGGAGAGAAAAGAAACCTCAGGGATTCATGGTGTTAAATTATCTCAGTACATGGAATTACAAGAAAGTAAACACCAATTTAAAAGAGGCAACGGAAACAATTGATGGAAAGCATGTGCAGGGAAAGAAAGAGTGGAAGGGGAGGAAGCAAGAGGTGTTCTTAATTATTTGTTTTCGTTTCATTAAATGTAATGGTATCATTCTTTTCTTTCCTATGCGTTGTTGAGAGGCGCTTCTTTGCAAACCTTAAAGATGGTGTCAAGTATTTTAGACACTTTTTCCATGTGTTCCATAGGTAGGCTGGTGAGAGTTAAGGTGTGGATGCTTTTGTCAGCCTGAGAATGGCCCTGTCTGGTTTCATTTGGCTTTCATGCTGTCTTGGGAGAATTAATGGAACAAATTCATTTCCGTCGACTCCAGTGAAGCTGTACCAGGAGTGAATCAGACCCATTCTCCCTGCTAAATGCAGCTGTTGCCCTGTGAAACCCTGATCCAAAGTCTATTTCAGGTTAAACCTGGAATGTTTTGTGATTAAACACAAAAAAAATAAAACCAAAGCTTAGTTGTTATGAACTCTCATTGAGTATGGTATGTGCTGCCCGGAGGAGTAGCAAGGGGAGGTGGACCACCAGAAGGAGTAAGGGGTAAATAACCACTACACTGCAGAGTTCAGGGAGCAGACTGCCTTTCTTTGCAAATTGTCCTGGGTTGGAATGAAAGTCATTGGCCAACATCCCTGCAGGGTCCTGTGGCCTGTTTGCCTTTGCTCTCTCTTGTTCACCCTCTCTCATCCCCACCCCACCCTCCCTTCTTAAACATCTCTCCAAACTCAGGATGGCTCCAGTTCTTCACCTGGTCCTTGTTTCTCCACTCTTCCTTGCACCCCAAAACTTATTTTGGGCTGACTCACTCTCACCTCAACTCATTGACCTAAATTAATCCTTTGTGTAATTCAACTGACTAAAATTGACGTAAATGGAGTTACATCAGAACTGAAATTAGCCCAGTCTGACTAAAATAGCACCTGCCTTTTCTACCAAACCGTCACTTGTCTCTTCCCCACCTCCACCCACGTATCATGATTTTAACATTTCTTTCTCTTCATTGCTCTTTCTCTTATCCTGCTGCCATGAGCAAGCTGTGTTCTCGGTGGCCAGTGTTGCCCTCTCCTCTCCAGCATCCTGTTCTCCTTCATCCCCGCAGCAGAGGCTGTCGGTCCCTGTTAACAGACGAGCCTTGCCTGTGTCCAAGTCTATGCAACAGCTTTTCATCTTCCATTGGACTTTGCTGTCCTTCACGATAGAGATGCACCGGCTGAGTTCAGAGCCTGGTTGCAGTGGGCACTTCATGTGCCTGTAGAAATTATAGTCTTACTCCAAAGAATTTGCAAGTCAGAATGCCAAGACATACAAAGATGAGGAGGGAAGTTAGATGAAGGTGAAGCGATTTGCCAAAGGTAGCATATCAGGACAATGGCAGAGCCATGGATGTCAGAC